CGCCGTTCAAAGTCGACATAAAACTGTAGGGACCCCTTTTGTGCCACAACATTAATAGCCCGAACATAATGAAAACGACGAGCTATGGACCACAGCTGTCAAACTATTTTAACACGTACTCTTATGTAGATAATTATTTTGGCGCCGACCGGGCTACGCGACGACTGTGGTTGTGGCCAGATTAGATCTATATCTATTTTTCCAGCGACAGATAAGGTTCTTCCTCTTCTATTATGTCAAACTCGTACAAATTCATGATGTCGCCGACGCATTCAAAAAAAATCATTTCGCCATGGACAAAGCGTTTGGACAAANTGATGTCGCCGACGCATTCAAAAAAATCATGTCGCCATCGACAAAGCGTTTGGACAAATAAGATAACAAATTGGAAGCTGTGGCCCGTAGCTCGTCGTTTTTAAAGTGTTCAGAACTTAAGACGCACTGTACAAATCGGAGGAGAATCTCGGTCAAACACTAACATATTGTGTAGCAACACGTAGAGATTGAGGTGTTGTCTTAAAACACCGAAGTCGCGGGTTCAAATTCCATCACATGCAATCCTAACTATATTACACATTTCTGCTCTTTAAATCCCAATTTATATCGGGAAGAATTGTTAATAAAATTATCCTTGTAATGTGAGTGTTGCGAAGACATTAATAGTAATACGAACCTTGTTATAAAATTAAGGTGAAGTGAAAAAACCGCGTGTCTTTTCTTTAAAAATTCAGAATTCAAGAGAGTTTATTACAAAAAATACAATTCTCAGTTGTCATTACAGGGTTGCAAAAGGTAAAACAATTCAATGTTCAGTACAACATTACAGGGCTGCAAAAGTTAGTAGGAAAGTAAAAGACTATGCAATAATATTGAACAGTGAGTTTATTACATTCGATACGATACTAGGGTTCTGGTACTCGATTCCAAAAAATATCGTTTTAAAACTATCGAGTAGAAAATATCGGTATCGAATGCCAAAAGTATCGATATGGTATCGTATCGTATCGAAATTCGTGTCCCTACTCCTTGCAAGTTTTACTGGGTTTTTGGCCAAACGAACGCAATTTGGTAACAATTGGTACCAACTTGTACAAGTTTTTTGTATAGAGAGCATGTATTTATCAAGATAAAAGCTCTGATAATTATTGCGTGCCAAGAGCGATATGCGGTCCCCATTCGTAAAGCTTTGCCTGATAATATTATCAAGATCAAAACTTTTGCCTGCGTTTCCAGACGCGCCGGTGTCGCCGCCGCCGCCGATTATTTGACCAAGCCGCCGTCGGCGTAAACCTCTAGTACATATAATATCGTCGCTTGGCGCTCAATACCTCGTATCTTTTGAAACATGGCATTGCATTTTTCGTAAAAAATGGTTCAATACAAATTTGTAGAGAATTTAATTTCCCATATTTTTTATATATGACATTAAAAAAAAAAAAACATATTTTGTTGCAAATAATTAGCAAAAAGTGCGACCAAATTTTACATTGTCACGGTTTTCATAATTTTTAAAAATTTCTCTTAAAAATACGTAGCATACTCAACTGCCGTAGTTGTAGAGGATTTCATTCTCCACGAAGAAAAAAATAATGAGGGAGTTCACAAGGTGTTGTATACTGTCCTATTTTTGTATGTCTACGTAGACTAGATTTCTCTGAACAATAAGATGGGGCATTTCTAAAGACATAACATCTTTTAATACAGTTTTATTTAACAAAGAGAAAAAAACTTGAAAAACCATCGCAAAAATGTATACACGCAAGATATATGCTGGCGAGAATGTAAATAGGGAAAAGACATTTTTGCAAGTTTTGGCTACTTTTCTTTATTTAAAAAATGTTTAAAATTTTTTATGAAAAGATAGCTTACTATCTAAAAAAACATGTAAATCAAAATTGGAAACTTTGTAGAACATTTAAAAAAATTCGACGAATGCTTAAATGCCTCTTCACTATTTACATATACATATTTTGCCCACATATCTACAGCTTATATANAAAAAATGTTTAAAATTTTTTATGAAAAGATAGCTTACTATCTAAAAAAAACATGTAAATCAAAATTGCAAACTTTGTAGAACATTTAAAAAAATTCGACGAATGCTTAAATGTCTCTTCACTACTTACATATACATATTTTGCCCACTGTATCTACAGCTTATATTTTTCATATCCATGCATTTTTTGAGGGAATTAGTATGATTTTTTAAAATTTCACTAAATTCAAGTTAGAATCGTTTCATGCAAAAAATAAAATAACAAATAATTACAAAAACCTGAATTTAATTTTTTTACAAGAATGATGACTCCAATATCANTTTCATATCCATGCATTTTTTGAGGGAATTAGTATGATTTTTTAAAATTTCACTAAATTCAAGTTAGAATCGTTTCATGCAAAAAATAAAATAACAAATAATTACAAAAACCTTAATTTAATTTTTTTTACAAGAATGGTGACTCCAATATCAATAGCGAGAGTATCAGTTTGACAGAATAAAACATAAGCAAGGACACTTATATGTACGTCCCGATTTTAAAAATATATTCAGCGGGACAATTTTCTCAAAATCGGTACTCTCCAGCCAAAAACGGTACCGTATGTATGTCGTAAACTTCAAAACCTTAAATTAAGGCTTAGAGGACTTCAAAGCACTACCAGCTATTTATTAACATTGTGAGAATTCATAATACTTTTATAACCTTGCGAACGCACTTCATATATGTTTAGTCGTTTAAATACGACAGTATACATNTTCAGCGGGACAATTTTCTCAAAATCGGTACTCTCCAGCCAAAAACGGTAAACGTAAACTTCAAAAACTTAAATTAAGGCTTAGAGGACTTCAAAGCACTACCAGCTATTTATTAACATTGTGAGAATTCATAATAGTTATAACTTTTATAACCTTGCGAACGCACTTCATATATGTTTAGTCGTTTAAATACGACAGTATACACACACCTTCTTAACTCTCTAATATTCTTTTCTTCGTACCAATTTGATCCAAATTTACTGAACTATCTCTTAGAACTACATAACTAATTAATAATAATAATAATAGATAGGCGCTTACACATATGTTAGTGTTTGGCCGAGCTTCTCCTCCGATTTGTGGCGTGCGCCTTGATGTTGTCACACAGAGCGGAGGGACCTACAGTTTTACGCCGACTCCGAACGGCGATTGTATTTTTATGAGAAGCTGTTTTTCATGGCAGAAATACACTCGGAGGTTTGCCATTGCCTGCCGAGGGACGACCGCTGTTAAGAAAAAACCTTTTTTCTATATTTTTTGCGATGTTGCTTTAACCAGGGTTTGAACTCAGGCGTTGCGGAGTGGAAGCGCGCACTGCTTACCACTACACCATAGTGGCCGACATAACTAATTAAATAGGTTTGTTCGTTGAGCAAAAAATTTGTACGAATTNGGACGACCGCTGTTAAGAAAAAACCTTTTTTCAATATTTTTTGCGATGTTGCTTTAACCAGGGTTTGAACCCAGGCGTTGCGGAGTGGAAGCGCGCACTGCTTACCACTACACCACAGTGGCCGACATAACTAATTAAATATCTGAAAAACAGCATTTCCGAAAAAATTTTAAATATGGCCTATTGCATTGCGGATAACGATATGTACTTCGTGCTTAATTTTTGTAAATGCAACATATGTACATACTTATCTCCTTATATGTACATACATATCGCACACCTAGCCTATAGTGCGATCAACTCAAAAAAAGGGCGATTTTTTTTGCATAAACGAATTCATAGGACTTACATCCAACTA